ATAAGTCGTTTTAACCAACGCCATGATTGGTAAATGACGCGCCCCCTTTAAGGTTGAATTTATTGCTTCAGCCAAGTTTGTTGTCATATGACCATAGCGATACCCCCCGTCATATGCATTTGTCCACATTTCTTTGCTGATGTCCATAATGTACTCGCACCCCTTCTTATTTTTGCCAAACAGCTCTTGTAGCATCGACTCAAACCTTTGAGGTAAGAGTTCGTAACCTAAGCCATTAGGAATATGTAATAGTTAATATGAAGTATAAATAAGTAATAAGAAATTGATAGAAAAATTGGGAAAAAGTAACATACCCATCCGCACGACTAACTGACGTTCATCGTTCTTCTTGTATTTTCCGTAATAGTTTGCAGCAATATGACGGACACAATAACGATGTTGAACATGTGGAGGTCTATACATTAAATATAACTGGATCACCGATGTCGTCTTCTCGAATGAGTTCCACATGGCGGTGGTTGCCTATTTCGTGGAGGATTTCTTCGTGGAACTTGTTCTTCAGTCTCCTCATCTTCACTATCATCATCAGCAGCATTTTCTTCATTTGGTGTAGATGACGCTGAAGGGGCTGAAGGGCCTGTATAAAATAACGACCCTGGAGGAGTGCTAGTAACAATCCCACCGCTCCCCGGGAACTGTGGAAACTGTGGAAACATTGGCATCGATGTATGTGATCCAGATGGAGATTGAGGTGTATGCGGAGAAGAACCACCAGCCAAATAAGATGCATATGAACCATATGCTGGATCATTAAACATAGTCGTATATGCACCTCCATATGGTATAAAACCCTGCGGGCTAGGCATGTAACCTGGCGGGCTAGGCATGTAACCTGGCGGGCTAGGAATGTAACCCTGCGGGCTCGGAATGTAACCTTGCGGAGATGGCATATAAACTGGTGGGCTTGGCATATGAAGTGGAGGGCTGGGCATGTACCCCTGCGGTATCGACGAATAAGGATGTTGTGGTGGGACTGATGCAGAACCGGTAGCGCCTTCTCTCCGTCCACGCGTTGGGGGACGATGATATTGAGACGGTTGACGTCTTTCTCGGCGCCTAGGAATGTTAACCCGTCGTGCTTCCGCCGAAAGTAGAAACGACTTCCCATTTTCATTAAACCAGTCCATATAGTTATCCGTAACCATATGACCAGTTTCAGCGTAATATTGTCGAGGGGCCAACAGTGTATATCGGTTCTCCCAAAGCGCAATCCAATCTCTGTGTCTCACCACCCAGTTAACATCTTTCTTTCCCCGTCTATCTATGTTATGCACGTCGTCTAAATTCCTAGGAGCTCCAGGAATATATTGCGTACAACCATACTGACAGAGCACGCGATCAACTGGATGCCACTCAATAATAGCATAACATATAAGAGGTATAACTGATATCTATACCTCTAATGACCCACTAAGGTGGGGTGGGATGCAAGCTTTCACTTCATCGCTCGCATAAGGTATCCACTGAAACTGAAATATAAATATACAATTCAAATAAATAAAATATTCTAATTATATCTAACATTTTAAATTAAAATATTAATAATTAAACAAATTTAAAAACATACCTCAGACCCAGCTTTCGTATCAATAAGTAAACGAATTTCCTCTAACCCAGTAGGTATACTTTTATGGTCCTTTCTTTTCATCGACCACCTATGAAATATAATATAAACTAAATATCACCCTATTTAATTGAAAATATTTAAATCAAAATTTAGTTTGAAAATTACCTCAACAATAAGGGGAATACGTATGGTTCATTCACGATCGGGCATAAGAAAGGCATGCGGAACCACGCCCATGATTGTAGAAGCAGAAGACATCCACCGATAGCAGTTTTCTTATAATTCATCGCCCGACACATTTCTCTAAAGAGAAATGCCAAAACTGCAGCACCACAACTATATCTTCCAGCTTCATCAAAATCGATCAGATGCCGCAACCACATACAATGCACATGGTTGCGAGATTTGTCGGGCATCAATATTCCTCCAATTATTCGTAGAATATATGCCCGAGCACATGTCTTTGCTTGATCCTCTGAAGCATTTTCATTTAAAACCTCAAAATTAGCTTTCAACCAAGATAAAGCTATTCTACCTCCATTAAACTCTGGCGGAGCAGCTCCAAGATAATCAATGCACATTGATTGCCAATCACCATCCGCCATACCACACATCATATTTCCGTCGACGGGAAGCCCCAGATGCATAGAGACATCCTCCAATGTAATTGTTGCCTCTCCACATGGAAGGTGAAAAGTGTGTGTCTCGGGCCTCCACCTCTCAATCAGTGCAGAAATTAGGACAGGTTCGAGTTTGCAATCGCCTATAATTGTTGCAATATACCCGAACCCAGCAGAAGCCAAATATGGCAAAATACGTTCCGGTGTCGGTATACGTGGATTTTTAATAAAAGTTTCTAAAATACGATCAGCATCCTAAATATATATATTATAAAAAATAAAAATTAATATAAATTCATAATAACTTTAAAATAAAAATAAATTTAAATATTAACATTAATTATAAAAAATATTACCATATCGCTAAAATGTCTGGAGATATGATCAATATCCAATCGCAACAGCATTTCGTTTTCCATTATAACTGTAGACAAAACAATATAATTAGCAAAAAAAATTAATAATTCTAAATAATAATAATTATATAATATTATTTTAATAAAAAAATAATATTGCATAAATATAATATAAAAATAATAACTATTTAAAAAAATACTAACATAAAAATAAATTTCTTACCACTAATAACAAATTTAAAACTCAAATAGTTGGAGAATTTGAGTTATATAAGAGAGGAGAAGATGATTTTGGTGTGAAGAATGAGGGAGGGTTGAGGGGGTTTATATAGGGGAAGAGGAGGGGTAGTTAGGAAAAACGGATGGGGGCATTTATGACATTTAATGGAAGGCGCGTCCCCGGGGATGCGCTTTCCACACATGTCTGCTGATATGGCAAAGGCGCGTCCCCGGGGACGCGCCTTTCACACGTGGCATCCAACTCAGCGAAAACACGGGTAAAGCGCGTCCCCGGGGACGCGCATTTGCCAACTCAACAGAAAGGATGCTACTTTTGGAAATATTGATCAAACGGTGTCAGAAATAGGACCCACTTACAGAGCCCCCATAAATTGCTTCATCATTAACAACCCCATGCGATAATGGACTGTAGCTTTCATCATGTAAATTTTTATCCTTTTCGCACGTTTTTTCCAGCTGGCTCATCTCGGGCACGCAGCTATTTGTTGGAACGACCAAGATTGCCCTTTCGTCTACATCAGCCATGGTGGCTCCAGGAAACTCAGTTGCTATTTGGAGGTTCACCTCCAACAGTGAAGAATCTACAACAACGATGCTCCTAGCTTCGTTACCCGAAGATTCCTTGGCCATTTCTTTATGAGCAACCGGAGAGGAAGCAACCTCCATATCCTTCGTTAACGACGGCTCTTCCCAACAGGAGACAGGAAAGAAGCAAGGTTCGATTTCAGAAACACAAACTGAAAACGACCATTCCCCCACTCTTAACTCAATGCTCCCTTCCACTCGGGTTTGACAATTCGTTACAATTTGGAACAACGCGCTGTCAAACGAACAGAGATTCACAGTCCTCTCCTCCACTCCAACAAGTTCACCCCATTTCTTTGCTAGGTTTCGAAAGGTTAAACGATTCCATGCTAACGATGGTATCCCTTTACACGAGAGCCAAGCTCGTCGATATCACACCGCATCTTTTCAGACCTAATTTCGACCTTCTCAAAACAATTATCCAATGCACACATCTGGTTTTTAGAAATTTATCTCTGCTCTCTTCATCTTCAAAGATGATAAGGACTGCTAACCCACTTAACCTCATAATAGTCGGACCTAAAATACCTTCATTGTGCATCAAAACTGCCAAATCTTTCATCTTCATGAAATTTTTACACCAACCTAGAAGGTTGTCTTTAAGAACCAGAAGCTTCTCCTCATCAATGGAACCTTCAATGGGAGTCTCCAAATGATAGTCAACCTCTCTTTTTCTCTTGAACTCTGCAGGCTGAGAATCAATGAATTTCTTTCTCCAGAAGGCGTCCCGTAGTTGGAATCTCGCCAAAAAAACCCGAACTTTGTTGCCTTAGATATAAGAGCCATCGAGATTATGAATAGCTCTTCTCGCACCCTCCATATTAGGAAAACGGACAAAACCGAACCTGCTGCCCCCTTGCTTCTCTTTTTGGAAATGAAAGAGTCCACAACCTCACCATACTTGTCGAAGATAAGCCGAAGCCCTTTGAAATGGAGATATTCTGTGAGATTGAAGACAATCAACATGACACACTTCCCCCTTGAAAACCTACTCTCTAGATGCGCCATATCTTTGGGTAAAACAAAAGACCCTGGAAGGATAGTATAGAGTATGAGATCCAACTTTCATCTTTATTTTAATTTAGTCTCTAAATTCTCAATTTTTGATTTCTAATTTGATTGTAAATCGAATTAACATTCAATCAAATGAACGTAATTAAACTAGACATATTTCTTAAGGTTTAAAATAAATATTTTAAGCTTCAAAAATGTTTTTTGGTCATCGGTCTTGAAAAAATTTTGGTTCAGAGAATCAAATATTTTATAAATTATATATTTAGTCCTCAAAATTCATAAATTCTATTAAATTAATTCTAATTTTAAATAATTTAATAAATTTAATCCTCGTTCATTTAATTTTTTGACATGGTACATGCCTAATTTATTATTTTTAAAAACCTTATGTTTCATTATAATTAGATGCCGTTTATATAAATAGGTATTGCTCACACGAATATACATGTCTTTAATACTAATTTATATAGAGAGAGAGATATAGGATCCAATTTCACGATATTTTTAGGACGGTTTTAAGAATAAAAATAAACGGTTGAGATTAACAGCAATAGATGTAAATATATATAAATAAAAACAAATAGATAGATGGACATATGAACAAAAATGAAAACCCGGAGAAATATTCTTTCTCACTTTGAATATCACACCAAAACAAGATCTAATTAACCAAACATGGAAGAATGCATGATATATAGAATACATAAGGCAAGAAAAAGAAGAAAAACGAAGTGAAGAAAAATGGGAGAGAGAAGGGCATGATCTTCTCATCTGAAAGTGTTATTTTCATGGCGTCGTCCATTGGAGTGTCCACTACAAGTTACCTTCACTCGGATAAATCCAGCATCAAGTTGAAGCAAAAAAACAAGACATTAAAATGTTTGTTCCAACGTCTTCCCCAGATATATTTATGGCTGTGGAAGCAGTTACGAATTGATGCATGCCTGGATTTCTTCCAGTGTTTTCCCTTTGGTTTCTGGGATAAACTTCGCTGTGTATATGATAGTCATTATAGAGAATCCCGAGTATATGTAAAACGTCCCTGTAAACCATCACACACGTAATTTCATATTGTTAATCTTAACTCCATATTTTCATTCACCTAAAAAAAAGTGTAAAATTAAAAAGTTTTATACGATTTGAACGGATTTTGTCTCTCTCTCTCTATATGAAAAATGAAAATAGAGTTGCATATTTGAAACATTTTAGTTATTGGCCCAAGTTGAGTTTGATTTACCATAGGTACTCCAGGCCATGAGAAAATTGAATGTGTAAGAGACTGTCCAAGCACCTAACCAATTCACCAGGACCACCAGGCTGCCAGCCACTCCCTTAATGTTAATTGGGAAAATCTGTCAACCAATTTCTTATCGATTTAGATTTCAAATTTAATTTATATTTAAACATTAGATTAAAAAAAAGCTTGCCTCAGACATTATCACCCAGGGACCTGCTCCCATTCCAATTGAGAAAGATCCAATAAATATCTGATTTCGATGTGAAAATTATATATATATATTAGTCTAAGTGATTACCAAGCACAAGACAATATTTATTTAGTGTAAAGATTATTATGAATAAGAAGGCAACCATGCTTTTATATATATATATATTATGAATGACTTACAAGGACGCCAGCAACAGCTAATATTGGCCTCCATTCAGGGTAAAGATCTTGTTCCTGACTCAAAATAAATATATATATATATAAATCATGAAACTGAACTATGACCCCATTGACAGTGACAGAAATGCTATGAATTACCCTGAGGTAAAATGAAGAACCTGCTAGAAAACAGCCAAGAAATGTGCCACTTGAGGAAAGCTGAAAGAAAAAAGAAATATTCTCACCCCAAAATTTTCCATGAAAATTCAAGAAGTAATCTAGAAAGCAAATTTTTGGGGGGATTGATTTTACCATTAAGAGTACTCTTCTTCCTGTTTTGTCCATTAGAATTGCTCCCAGAAAAGTTATAGGGACCTAAGGATTTCGTTTTTCAGATTATTGAGTTAATGAACAAAATATATATACCTGTTATGATTCACTTAGATTTAGTGTAAAATTTTTAGTTTCGTATCTTTTTAAGAAGATTATCTCTTTGTTATTTTTTCTATGAATATCTTATATTTTTTTATTGTTAATCTCAACGGTCTATTTTCATTTATTCAATCATTCTAAAAATTATAAAACTAAAAAGTTTTGCAATTAGTGAATATATATATATATATATATATATATATATATAAATGAATTACCTGAAGACAAGCATAAGCTATGGTTCCAGTTTTTCCTGAAGAAAGCCCTGGAAATTGATTTATAAAGGTTTATCAGTATGATAGTTCTTCTAATGCATATTGGGTTAAGGTATATATGTATATATTTATATTATATATGTTCCTCTTAGGGTATACCAGCTAATGCAAAGGTTTCACTTGCATAGAAGCTTATTCCATTGATCCCTCCAAACTGTTGGAAAACCATTAAGGCAACTCCAATCTGAAGATCATATTAAAAAAGAAGTTATATTAGAAATCATTTAAACAAGAATCTCGAATTCATCGAAAATCGAACTTACCATCACAGCACGAATATATTTCTTCTGAAACAAGTCCCCTACTGTTGCTTTGGGAAGGCTTTCAAGAGTTTCAATATATTCCTGTTGATACACCAAATTATCAGCTTTATATATATATATATATGCATGTCAAATTTGCATTGAGGATATGTTTTAATGTGTAAATACCAGAATTTCAGCAGCTTCAGTTGTAATATCTGCATTTTTGCCCCGAAGTTTTCTTAGAGCTGCCTGGAATTCTTCCTGGTGCCCAACCTTTGCCTGCCAAGAACAATTTTCAGCAATCTAATGGCTTAAGGAAAAAAAAAACAGTGCTGTTTAATTCAGTTTCGATTAAGTTTCTTCTGATTCGGTTCAATTTATGTTCAAGCAATAATTAATCGATCGGTTTGAGTTTGATTTGATTTTCGACTATATTCGATTTAGATTTTAAATTTTAGAATATACATACTAATCACTTTTTTCCCAAACCCTAATAAGTCAATATTAGAAATATGTATTGATATGCTTACCAGCCATCTAGGAGATTCAGGGATGAAACTAAGGCCAACAAACAGGAAAATGCATGGCACAAGTCCTTCATAATCAAAAACCAAAATTTAGTAATTTTCTTTTTAAAATTTTGATCGTGAGTAACTTCTATTTCTACGATTAGTTTAAGTACACCCTGATGGATGATTAGGGTACCTGTGAGAGCCAGTGACCTCCATGTTATAACTGTTCCTATTAGGAATGCAACTGATTGACCAATGACAATCATCAGCTGCAAAGAAAAAAGATAAGGTTTCTGAGGACATAAACAGATTAATTAAGTCGAAATATTCATGTCTGACACATATTCGAATATTATTTGAATATATGATACTCGTATTCGAATTCAAATAATATAGTTCTCACCTGGTTCAATGTTGTGAGCCCTCCTCTGAGATTCTTTGGCGCAATTTCAGCTATGAAGATAGGAACCTGTTTGTTTAGAGGGAAAACTTTTCAAAAATATTTTCCCATCAATTTCTATCAATAAATACAGAGTTTTGAGAAATAAAAAAGAATACCACATAAGAGAGAACTCCAATGCCAAATCCAGTTGAAAACCTTCCAACATCCAGTGACAGAGCCCCCTGTAGTAGGAGAACCATTGAAAATAACCATCCAATTCAACACAATCTAATGATTAAAATTTCATGTATCTTAAAGTTCAAACCTTGGAGAAATACACAGCTAGCCATCCAGTAACGCAGAAAGAAGCTGAAAGTCTCATTGCCTGAATCATCCCATCAAAACAATCCATGTAATAATCTAAATCAATCATAAGTAAAATTAGAATTCAATTATGAAAACAGGGATTTAAATAACGGTCCGCTCTTGCAAGTTGGAATAGCGGCAACGGTGCCGTTCAATAGTATTTGTTACGTCCACGATCACAATAAATGCAAGGCATTCGAAAATGCATTCGCAACCGTAATTTAAATCCCTGATGTAAAATTCAACATACCCCTTTTCGACCAATCAGATCTGCAAGTCGACCACTTGTGACAGCACCAATCATTGCACCAATGGTCAAGATTGAACCAAACATTGAAAACTGAAAAAAAATGATGGGTTTTTTAAGATGAAATTAAAGGCTTTTAATCAAAAGAAAAATGGAGAAAATTTATGAGGGTTAACCTCAGCTAAAGATAAACCAAGATCCTCCCTGATAGCAGCTTGTGTTGGTGCTGAATACCCCACCTGCCAAAAAACAACATAAACCACTTTAATAATTGAAGGACTTTGTTCAAACAGATGAAGAACACTAAAAAAACAATCACAGAAACAGAAATGAAAATGAATTCAAAACTACTCACACAAGATCCGAATTCGAATGCACCACAAACAGCAACAAATGTGGAAAACAAAACCATCCCAATGGAACCATTTTCATCACTCCCATAATGTTCATTATTCTCTCCCGTTGTGATCAAAGGCTTCTCCAAATCTCCACGCCCATTGATCTCATTCTCACTGAACTTTCCGGTTGCCATCTCCTTCAACTTTTAGCAAATTTTCTCGCAATCCAAACAGAAAACAACGACAAAGCAGAAAAGGGAAGAGAACTCGACGCAGAAGCCAAGGTTTGAAGATGAACTTTATATAGACGTAAACTTATGAAACGATATTTTCATGCCAAATTATGAATTTTAAAGAAATAAACAACCATTCATGCACTTAACAGCCATGATTCATAAAACTTTCTATAAGAAGTCGCATCTAGTACATTCGAAGCTGGGATTAATCTCTTCTTCTACCCCAGTTGCGACCTCTTTTATCCAAAAACGTTATATATATAAATATCAATCAAGTAAAGAGAAAAATTCCCAAAGGTGATATTTATACAGAACAGCCAAAGATGATAATAGTTAATTCCCTAATTATGGGATGACGACCTTTTCTTCCTCGATCCAAACTTGTGGAACAGTTGTTGTCTGGGGCATGTTTTTTCTTTACATATTTGTCATGTTTCATATGATTCACGATAAAGTTGAGCAACCAACCATCTGATTTTCCACGTGAAATTGTATCTCAATCTGTTTCTATAATTTGGATAAATTTCAACATAAATAATATACTCCAGATTTTATTTAAACAATTTTATCAGGTCAACATTAGTTTTCAACCGTTTAAAAAAAGTTTTTCTGTAAATAACTGTTGGCACAAGTGGTTATGATTCAAGAATTTGAGTTTGTAAGGATAAGTTTGAATCCTAACACTGTCACTCTTAGTAAGCAATCTCTAAATTCCTATGTAAATCCTAATTGGATCTTAGATATGCCCTAGTCCTAGACTGAGGGAGCCACCCCTTACCTAAAATTTTTATTATATAAAAAAAGTTTTCTAATATTAAATTATTACATACTAGTTCCTATTCCCAGTTAATCTGGGGATTCATAATTTATTCTTTTTATATGATTTCTTAAAATTAGATTTAAATTTTAGACCACTTATAAACGTTTAGTTAATTATTACCAACAATTAGTTTGTATAGTGAGATTATATCAGAGGCTTCTATGATTTCTTAAAATTAGATTTAAATTTTAGACCACTTATAAAACGTTTTGTCAATTATTACCAACAATTAGTTTGTATAGTGAGATTATATCAGAGGTTTGAATTCTAATAATTGATAATTAAACAAACTGGATTGAGAAAGTTGCACTCAGAATGAGCCTTTACAAAACTTGATATAGATTAGTATATTAGTAAATTAGATATTAATAGTTAATTCTTGAAATTATGGATAATTATTTAAAGATGGTTATAGATATTAAATTAGTTTATTAATTTTTATGCACATCAATTATTTTAAATAAAATGTTACTATTATTGTTTTAAAAGTTTAAAATATATATTTTTTCGAGTGCATTGAGTAGCAGTGAAAGAATATAAAAAATAATTTATAATGTAAAATTTATAAAAATAATATCAATATTATTTTAAAGCAATGTCAAATTTTTTTTTTAATTTTTTTATAAATTAGGATGTCAGCATAGCTCCGCCCACGTTGAGTACAATACTAAATTAATGTGTTTTAGCTATATTAAAGTTTACAAGAGATTTGTGTACAAATCTAAATTAGCTTATAAGTAGGGCAGGGATGGGTTCACAGATGTATTTTGAAGAATGAAACCAACACTCCCTTATCCAATGAAGCCACTTGATAGGTTCATAAATCGTTCTATTTTAATTTGATATTATTTGTTCTTTTTAATTTTGTAATGTTTATAATAAATCTTGATAATGTTGAGAGTTATTATTGTTAAATTGATGATATGATTTTTTTTATTTTGCCTTAATGGTTTGAAAGATTCTCCTTAAAGATCTTGAGTTTGAGCAGTTACATATGCAGAGATGGAGCTACTTAGAGGTTGGAAGGGGTTGTTGCCTCTCCCAATTTTTTGGTATAATAACATTTTAAGTCTTTTTTAGTTTAAATATCAGTCAAAGAAGATCTTTGTCCCTCCTAATTTTTAGTTTTAAATATTTAGTAGATTCTTATTTTTTTGAAATAAAATAATTTTGTCCCCTCAATATTTAATCCTAGTTTTATCCTTATGTGTTACTTAAAAAAATAGTTATATCCTTGTGCGTGCGTGTTATCAATAGTTAAAAAGATTTTGAACATATATTTTCTTATAATCACCCAGATTATTAAAAATGCTTATATCACAAATAAATACCTAAAGTATATCATTTTTTTTGTTTAAACACCAAAAAGTATTTTTTTTGGGTCACAATAAGTATCTAAAATTATCTTTTTGGTCAAAATAGGTACTTAAAATATTTTTGGTCAAAATATATACCTAAAGTATTTAAGTTTTTACATCTAAGTAGATAAAGTATTCTTTAATTAATGTCACATGTCAAATTTTTTTTAAAAATTTAGATGAAAAAGGAATATACTTTAGGGACTTGTTTTTAATATAAGCCTATTAAAAATAATGATAATAATAATAATAAATTTATATATTAACTGAATGTATAAGACTTTTTTACGTATAGTTTTAACAGATGGTTATTATGTTACTCATTTTTCATAAGCAGATTTTTTTTAATACCAATGTAGTGATATTGCAATATAAGCCAACGCTTTCTGTCATTCAACGTTGACTAGCATGCAAATTACATAAGGCTTATTCTATTTCTAGTCAAACCAACTTCTAGATAAAGGCATAAAAGGATGTCGAAAGTTTTCGAATCATATACATCAATCAATTGATGCGTTTACACAAAAGTAAAAAAATATAACAAGGATAATTTTTTTTCATTAAGAAAGAGAATGAAAATAGGAAAGAAATACTTTAAATTAAAATAACATTTTAATCTCAATCCTATATTTATTTTAATCTAACAGTTGTGAAAAGGTGTTAAAATAATGTCAATGATATGTTCTTAAATCTACAACACAAACATACTATCGGATTTTTAAAAAAAATATAATATTTCTTTTATCATTGAAATTATTCTCCTAAATCTAGTTAAAACATCATAAGGAATAGGCGTTTGTTTTCCGGTCAGGATAATATAAGGTTAACTAGAGCTAGAGGTAAAGTTTATTCTATCATACATGTGATTTATTTTCTTTTTAACAAGTAAAATTTATAATAGTAAATTAAAAAAATTAGTATGGAAAATCATTAAATTATTTTTGTTACCAATACCTATATTTTACAAAAACTTAATATTTCATATAAAATTAATATAATTATATATTAAATGAAATTTAAAAAATAAACTTACATATATAACTAAATATCTTTTATTTAATTTTATCATAAAATAAAATACTATGATTTTTAAGTTAATTTTTTAGTGACTAAATATATGATATGATTTTTAAGTTGATATACCTAGCTGGGAGTGGAATGATAATAGAGGTTTTTCAGTTAAATTTGCATATGCATTCTGTGAACCTCAAGGAGCATTGATGAGCCAGAATGTATGGACAGTAATTACGAAGTGTAATGGCCTCCGACGGATTGAAACCCTATTGTGGCTTGGTACATGAGAACGACTCTTAACTAAAACAAAGAGAGTCACACCACATATTGCATCCGATAATCTTTCTGGGGTGTGCCAAACAGAACCAAAATTTGTCGAACATCTATTTCGATCTTGTCTGACGGTTAGGAATATTTGGATGTGTCTGATTACCTAAAACAAATGGACACAATTCTTCTCGATGGAATTTCATGACTCAGTGCTCCTTGATATCAATGGTAAGTGGAAGTTCTCGGTTGATAAAGATAGATTGTAATGCCCGAATACTGAGTTAGTAGTTTTAGGTAAATCGTTTAAGCTTAAGAGTGTTATGGTAGGCCTTTATGAAACATTAGGTTAAGTGTGGCTTGGCTTGAGCTTGGGTTGGGCTCAAAATATGATGAAAATGATATTTTTGTATTGTGGGAAATTGAGGGAGGTCCAATGAAGTAATTTACCCATTATTTGAAATAACGCAGACTCCCAAAAAAATTTGATGAAGTCACGTTAGAAAGGGGAGAACCCTCTCTTATCTTCTTCGTCTTCATCTTTCTCTCTTCCCTTATTGTTACAAGCCCATCAAAGGTGATAACTTGTTACTCCACATCCCTAGTTCGAATTTGTGAAGCTAAGATTCTTAGTCTCTTTCGCTAGAGCTTCATTTTAAGTCCACCATCTCAAGCTTTGGCCATGGTAGGGGTTTTAGAGAGGTTTTGGATTTCAAGGCTATAAGATGTTTCTAATCCATTTCTAATGGTTGGAAATCTTATTTTATTCCTTTTAAGTCCTTAAACAAGTTAGTAATCCATTTTGTTGCTTTTGATTAGTGGGAGAAGTTGGAGAGAGATCCAAGGAAAAAAAAACAAGGGAAAGCTTATGCTTGGGTGACTTTGAGGTGTTTCCCAACAGCTAGGATCAAGGTAACACACTCCTAACTCACCTATACTTGTAGATCATTAAATGCGATTTGTTTGCTTGTATGAGTGCATGGGTGCATAATGGGTTTAATGATGTTCATGAGGGCATTGGGATGTTTTGATGTTTCTCATGCATGAAAATGACATATTATGATCCTCTTAAATCCTCATAAGCTTTAAATAACGTTTGAGGGTCTTATGAGGGCTTTGGGTATGAGAGAGACAACTTTCTCATGAGAATACAGAGTTTTCTAGGTTTGGGGTATCGGTATTATTTGTCTGAAAGGCTAAATCAATGAATTTTGGTCAATAGTATTGATACTTTATCATAGGGTATTGATAATGTTGTAATGTTTCAAAATTCCAATAGCCAATTTTGGTATTGGTACTTGGGTAGTATCGATATTGAATTAACTTTCTAAAACATCAAACCTAAAATTGACATTGATACCTAGGATAGTATTGGTATCCTAACAACTAGAGTAGTATTAGTACTCCCCCTAAGGGTATCGATACTCCAAAGTCTTGTCAAAATCCAGTGAACGATTTTGGTACTGATACCAAGGGAAGGAACCAATACTAAATGATCAACTTCGATACTAAAA